TCTTTGCTATCATTGGCAGGGACATAACGCTGGATTACATTCATTGTGAACCCTTTCTTCTTATTTTCAAGAGTTATTTGATTATTCTAAATCCTGAAAAATTCCTATTCATACAATTATTCTAAATCCATGAGATTCTCATCTTGTAAGTTTTTCCGTTCTTCTTTGAATAGCATCAGTGCAACTCCTTGTGTGTGGAAGGCATTTTCTTCATAACAAGAGTATGACAGCATCTCTCCTGGAGCTAATCTCTGTCCAGCTTGGATCCAATGATTCTTACTTATTCCAAGAACCACCAAGTTGTCTCTCCTTAATTACGCAGCTATTTGTTTGGTCCTCCCAGCCTCCAACACTGTCTGGACATTCCATATACCTAAATTAATTGGTACTTTGGTTGTAAGAAAGGGCGTCGGCTTCGTAACTCTTGATGTATCTTGGCTTTAACTATGAAGTATCATAACTCTTATAAGTGAAAGTCCTTCAAATCCCAGGGCAGAGTTTAAATAGTTTAAACGATTTTTCCCGGTTAGCGTTTTTCAGAAACGTTGTTTTCTACGGGATGAGATTGCTAACCCTGTGCTAAACCCTTCTTTTTTATCCTGACATGAGGCCGGAAGTGATCGTAGAAGAGCTACAGGCGGAGTTATCTAAATGTAGTTATTATTCACTGGGACGGAAACCTGTGTATGAAGAATTATACTTTCCTATAAAATCCATATTCATCACAGTCACAGGCTTGGCTTGTCTTCCCTTCGTCCCCTGAACAGTTTGGGTCTAGGTTTAGAGTTTTGACGTCGCCGTGTTAATGATTACGCACTTTAATTACGTTTAGTCTTGTGTAGCAAAGTGCAAGTTATCGCAGCTAACTGACTGATTCTGTTCCTAAAATTCTCAGACCACTCATCCTAGGATATGTTTACATAAATAAACTCAAAGTATCACTGTAACTTTCATCACCGTATCTGAATTAGAAACCGCCATTCTTGGTCACTAGTCAATGAGATAAGACTTTTTCTGCTCTATAGTTTAACTAAACGGTTTATACTTTTTCATTTAGTAATAGGGTAAATTATCTAACAAGATTATTCCAAATAGGTAGTTTCATGAATCAATTTTTCAGTATTACTTTGAGTTGGCTAACAATAAATAGAAAGAGTGATGCTTTTATCCAATATTCTTACTTAATAGTCACAAGCCAAGTGTTTCCTCTTTATAATCGGTAGCTCAATAAAGTATGACATTCTTGGGATGTTCATCATATCGCTTGTCGATCAGTATTGTATCAGTACACATTCGTTCCTATTATCATATAAATCCGTTCTGTTACATCACACTAACGAACACAAACATGATGCACACTAACCTTGGATTTTCGAGTTTTGCATAGGGGTGCTCAGTAACAGTGACCAAGTATATCATGAATTTAGGCCAGAAATTGTTATGGTGAACTTAGTTAAAGTATTGCTCTGAGCAACAGTTGTAACGAAAGATTCATTCAAAGTAAAGTATCCACTCAAGTAAATATATAACATTTTGAGAACTTGTTTAACTATATCCGTTTATTTGATAATTATCTGACTGGTTGTTCATAGACTTGTCTACAGGCTTTATATCAAAATAACTGAATTTATCGCTCATGAAATTTGTGACTTTTTGTGTAATTTTTTGAGATGACCTAACTTATTTTAAAAAAACCGCAAATAAATTTAGTAAGAAAATTAATATCACAGGTGTAGATAATGTTTGTCTAGACGGATAATGTAGATATCAATCTGTCATTAGGCGCCAACTATCTTTCCAATGTATATATATTTTAGCGTTCACAGTCATTTTTGTCCTGACTAATGGTGGTATATTTTGAATTCTAGTGAAATAAGCAAAGATAAGCACACATATGTGTATCAGTTGCATCAGCAAATGTTTGACCTAATTTTAGCACGATATGTTTATTATTTACATTTTCATATAAATGACATATTAATCCATTTTCGAAATGTAGTTTTGTTTATAATTTCAGTAAATTTATCACATAAATAACATACTAGTTATGCCCGAATGTTGTTCGAATTAGGTCTTTATATTTAATGATCAGAAAAAGACGTTTGTACTCAGTTTTTAGAAAAACAATATGGGATCGAAAAGGTTGTTGTAATTGCTGTACAAACTGAGCTATATTAATAAGATTAATTACTGTCGATTTCAAAGGAGCTTTCATAATATTCTATTGATATCCAGGTCCTTCAAATGCACTCTAAGCCCTTATTTCCTAGATTCATTTGAGTTATCAGTAAAATTGAGATGGAAGTAATGATAAGGTGATTATATTCAATAATGTAAACTATATGTTTACTCTTGAATTGATTAGATAAAGGTAGTTAAATATGAGACAAATTGAATCATATACTCACATAACTTCTTTGTTTAAATGCAGTCACACTATGTAAATCATTCAAAGTCGCTCCCCGTAAATTTGACAGTGCTCAATATAAAATCTAACCAAAATCATAAGAGTTCACTTTAGAATAAAGGGAAAATGATATGATTGCTGAAACCTTTCAAAATGGAAATATTTCGCGATAAATTATTTTTCATTATAATACCACTCATAACCAAAAGTACTTAACTAACTCGTGAGGTGAACCAGATATTCCACAACTTAGTTAGGATTTGTGGTGTGTATCTTGTTTACATTTTTATTGTAACTCAATACTAGGAGAACAAATAAGTATTTTTCTAGAATGTTTGTGGTGTGAGCTGCTGATGTCGAGAGATATCAGTAGTATGTATCATCAATCGAAAGTGGAATACCTGGCAGCAGAAGGTTAGGAAAATCGAAGAAAAGAGAACAAGAACAGTGAATGGTTATTGTGAAGTAACAGTCAGTTTCGAAACAATTGATTGATATTTTGTAAATCAAGTATTTACTGTATGGTTCTCAGATTTTACTAAGATGTTTTGTAAGTTTGTGTTCAACTACATTCGATTGTCCCTACTTGTGTTCTCATTCACTACATGTCTACTTTCAAGTAGAATAACTTTAAGTTTCATAGAACAATTGGTCATAAAAAAGATTTCTGCACAACTATTAGATCCTCACAGAGGTGCTGAATGTTTAGTCCTCACAATCTATCGACCAAACACTAGAATTAAAAATACTTTGTATCTAAAGTTGATTCTATATTTCGTCCGTAATCTAATATTCATGTCGTTTAACTTTCAGCTAGAAAGTGATTTTCGGTATCATTCAGATCTTATGGAAAACCTAGCTGGTATTTGGTAGGCAAATTATCCATCAAACTAATGACAGTAAAGAGTGTTTTTAGTGGTCTCAAAAGTATCAATATGTCTGCGAAACGAGTAGTTAATTATTAGCTCATATACTACATTTAACAGATATAGGTTATATAACTGAATTTTCACCATAACCGGTACAGCTAGATCCGAAATGGATAGCACAACTTACGATAGAATATGATAAACTATCCAAACTAGATAAAACTTATTGAAGTACAGGCTGTGGTAAAGCTGTATAGTGAATCAAGTGCAAGTTTGAGTTTGGATTGGTGACTAACTATGCTCATTTCTAATGTACTTCTTTTCATCTGGTCAATTCAACTTCCAATCTGTCTTTTAAATGGTTCAAACAATTAAGAATTTCCATTACTGGTTGAATCAAATAACAGATTATATCAAACACGATTGGAGGTAATATCAAAGGATTTAAACAAGAAACTCATATTTTGACACGATAATGAATTATGTGCTCATAATTATTAACACAAAGTTTAAAACTTGGGAATCAGTTACAAAAGACAATAATTTTTGTTTTAATAATATCGATTTAGAACATCCAAAGGTTACTTACAAGCTATAAATTATATTATGACCTTTGAAACATGATTCTGTAAAAACTTAACTTATTCATTACTGAGGTTATTCCACTACGACTACATACCATAATAAATCATTATATCGAGCATTGTAAGCAAATAACATTAAACCACACTACATCACACAAGTATACGATATTTATTGTTTATGAGATACTTTTTTGTTCATTATTAGCTGTAAATTGTTAGTTACACCACTTGTATACAAAGCGAAGTACATGTATATGAACTTTATTTTCTCTATACTTGACCTTTTATGAAAGCATATAGATGAAAATGAAAAGTGTATGAAAATTTAAAGAAAAACCGGTGGATTTTTTACAATTATTTACTTATCATACTTAAAATGTCAAAACAATATCACTTTATTATTTATTACCAACGATTTACGAACCTTTCTTCAGATAATCCCTAAAGGAGTACAACTATAGCTCTTGTGTAAAATATAGTGGTTGTATTAGGCACTAATAATTTTTTAAATAGCACCTTCTTTGAACAAACTTATCACAACAATTGAATTAATTTATAAGGGAATCTATTGAAAAAATATGTACAGTATTATCCATTGTAGGCAAAAAATTGACCTCAAGTTAGTAATCTCGGAGTTTTTCTTTCAATCCTACGCATAAACTACAATAAAACCGTATAATTCATTTTAAAGTGTCAGAAGTTTCATTCAAAAGATAAGGCGTTATAAACACCCTAAATTATTTTTATGATTTGGAGGAAACATAAAGATCGTAATACATTTTCATGCACAGGCTAAACTCATTGTTATTAACTCCATTACATTTATAAAACAACCAGCCATCGCACTCAACAATTTCTGAAATTTAAAAGTGTTTACAGTTCATTGCATACTTTGGCCCGTAGTTAAAGTCAGTTTGTTGTGTACATAATGCTTGTTGAGTTATTTTTGACAATAATTAAGTATATTAGCTTAGTATTTCAGTTAACGACATTGAGCTAACCACACATTTCCTTCAATTCACCTCTTTATTCACAAGGTAAATAATCTTAATTACAGGATAGGTTGATTGTTTGTAACCAATCAGGATTAAATGATGAAAAGACAAATCTGTACACTGAATTACAATCTCATGTGTTGTTATTGTCGGTGCTTTCATGCACAAATCTTGTTTTCTTTTTTATTTATGCACTACATTGAACGAAAGTTAATTCACAGATCTCAAATGACTTTTTAACATCATGTCAAGAAGAATACATCTCCAAGCAAATAATAATATGTTTATCCGTCAGTATATTTGTTTTTAAGATGAAGTAATTTGTACAAAACTATACGATTCATTTCCTTTATTCTGATAGTTTGCATAGATTGTCTCTTGTGGATACAAATTTTAGGAATGCATTTACATAAAAAAATTGGCCTATTCAATATTATTAATACTGTAACGATTATTTTAACTCAGTTCTATGCTGATACTGCTTATACAAACCATAAAACGCAAAACTATTTTACTAAAAGTTCAAACTTATATTTTTATGACCGAATTAATGGAGATATTAATTTCAATGAGAAATACTTACGTCGACAAGTTATCACAAGAAGGTTAAGGGATGTTGTGCCGATTATGTTTCCCATTAACTCAAAAGAAATCGAAGTGTCCGATCATTTAAAAAGTCTAATTGAATCTAATCAAAATGGAAATATACCAAGTGAAGTTTATTCAAACGAAAGGGTAGGTGAACAACATGGAGAAGCTGAAGAAGGTGTAGATGATGTGAGTCACTGTGTTCCAATTCATGAATCTGTTTGTCATGGCCTTCAATACACACATACCTCGTTGCCTAATTCAGTGGGTTTAACAACACAAGAAGAGGCCGCAAAACGCATGAATGACTACCGTTCCTTAATCAATGTTGGATGTTCACAGTATTTGAAATTTTTCCTATGTACGATTTATTTTCCAATGTGTACTCCAGCTTTGAATCCACCAGCTGCCTTACAACCATGTCAAAATTTATGTCGTTATGTTCAGTCAAAATGTGAACCAATTATGAAAAGTTTTAGCTTCCCTTGGCCAATTGAATTGAATTGTAAATCATTACCCTCCGAGTCCGGAATGTGTATACAACCACAAAATTATGATTTAGATAAACAAGGGGAAATTATAAGTCAAGGAATTCCATCTGAAGCTCATGGAGCCATTGCTAACTTGCTACCAGATTTTGGTGAATTTCTAGCTCATCAAAATGCACAAAATCAACAATTGACAGGTGCGCAGACTAACCAGACAGATAACAACCATGGGAAGATATCTCTTATAGATAATAATCAGTCTGGATTGATGAAGCATCATATACTTCATAGAACCAAACTACAAGCCTCAAAGTGTTATGTTGTTGAAATCCTTTTATATTCCGAACAGGCGCATGATAATATTACATGCGCCCGTCGGTGCAACGCTCATTTGTTTTACAAACCAATTGAAAAACGTTTTGCCAATGTTTGGATGTTAGTTTGGGCCATACTTTGTTTAGCATCATGCGCAATGACAATGATTACATTTACTCTAAGCCGTTCACGTTTCGCTTATCCAGAGAGACCGATCATTTATATATCAGTTTGTTACTTTTTTTATTCTACTGGGTTCATTTTACACGCTCTAATTGGACGTGATTCGGTGGCTTGTAGAAACAAAGTTGAAACTATTTCATCATCATTATTACCCAGCGGAGTATCACAAGAAGGAGCGAAGAAACTTCTTACAAGTGTGGCCCAGTCGAAGGTTAATGTTACTTTCTTGATAACTTCTGGACATGAAGGTACATGGTGTACTATCGTATTTCTTATCCTGTTTTATTTTAGTCAAGCTAGTTATTTATGGTGGGTTATGTTAGCTATCTCATGGTTCTTATCGGCTTCATGTAAGTGGGGATGTGAAGGCATAGAAGCTATCAGTAGTATCTTACATATGCTCGCTTGGGCAGTTCCCGCATTAAAGACTATTATCATACTAATCATGCACCGCATTGATGCAGATGAGTTAACTGGATTGTGCAATGTTGGTTATCAAAATTCAACAAGTTTGCTTGCATTTATATTATTGCCACAAGTTATCTACCTGTTGTTGGGTATTTTATTTTTATTGGTAGGTTTCCATTCTTTGATTTCTCTTCGATCAAACTTGAAACAACATGTTAAAAGTCTTATGCCTGTTGCCAACACGAAAACAGGACTAGCAAACTGTTATAACTCACAGTTTAAAAGAAACGTTACAGCAACATTAGCAACATCAACAACACCACTACAACCAATAACGCTAACTAGTCCAGTCATTCCTCTCAATAATGGGAATATACGACGTTTAGATAAATTGATGATAAAAATAGCCATATTTTCTATGTTATATGTTTTACCGAAGGCCTGTGTTATTGGAGTGAATATTTACAATTATATTAATTTCCCAAAATGGATGAAAACACTAGATAAACTGGCGAAACAAACAAATTGTTTGACGGAATACGGTACAAATTGGTCGTTGGTCACCCAATGCGTTAGTGATAATCACTTCCCATCAGTTGAAGCTAATATGCTACAAATTTTCATGTCATTAGTTGTCGGTATCACTTCAGGTATGTGGGTATGGTGTAACCGGAAATCATCAGAAACATGGATAAAATGTATGACAGGCAAAAAGAAAGATTTATCTAAACATGATTTGAATTACCATCATCATATTTGTGAGGATGCTGTTGCCGGTGTTGCTACTGGGAATAATAATAATTTGTCTCAAGTTGACCAAAAAGCACAACCTATGAATTCAACCTGTTGCAATTCAAGAGGAGGATGTGGAATAAATAGTCAGCATCCAGGTAAGAATTTCAAAATTGGGATCAACGGTTTATTAATTCTATTTTTTGTCGAGTAACCAAGAGCTAGATAATTTACGTATTGTCTAAGTCAATGAGTAATAGTTATGTTGAGAAAAATGGCCAGGCATCACAATTTATAATACTCAATAACATGGTGTGAGGATAACCACCATTTTTTCAGTGTTCAACAAAAATGAGATACCTAGTATTTTCAACCATTTTTCCGTCCATGTCAGTGTTGCATGATAGTGCAATTTTCAATGAGGACTTGATATTAATCGTCTGTAATTATATATATATATATATATACTGCATGAAAAAGGTAAATAAAGTTAAAGTTAGAGCTTGGAATGAAGTTATCAGTAGAAAATATACTGTTATAGGTACAATTCACTGACTAAATGAACGAGAAAATGCTGGAGATTACACACATAGTCAACCTTTTTAAGCAGATAATTTACATATTCACAGACGCGTATGCTACTTCGTAAAAAGTGATGTGCACGTGGTAAGGTATTCGTTAGAGTATGGACATTTAGTTAAAAAGAAATCCGTATCATTGATGCAAGAGAGTTTCTGACAGAAACTTTTCACTATTTACAAAAATTCAGAGCATTGTGTTATTTTGATACTAAAATATTCACTCGATTTCTTCTTTTCAGTTTTTCTTTCCTTTTAATGTTAAACCTGGAAGTGAATTGTATTTAGTCGGGGTACAGAATTTCGATGTTTAAAATAGAGCATGTAACCCACATCAAAGTTAGTGACGTTCATGATTATTTAATCAAAATGTTAGAATGGACCTGATTTTTAATTCGAATAAACAATATAATTGGACGAAAATGGAATTTTGCAATAATTGGTCACTTACAAATTAATAATATCACAATCTTTATTTTTCATTAATGAGTAAATTTTTCTCTGCGTTTCTGCTTTTTAAAATTCATTTGTAGAACTCAATTATTACTAAGGACTGCTGAATGTGAAGTTGTTTGCCATTCAGCTACTGATGTGTGATCTAGATTAATACCTTTTCGGAGCAAGTCGCTTCAAAACAACATAAATTCTAGCAAAACATTAACTCATAAACGGTCACTGCATTACTTGATTATGGAAAAACTTGCCTAAATGTTTCTTTGACGATAACCAATAGTGATCAATAAACTTATCGTCATGCATGTTGTTGTAGATTCCTTCTACACTTTCCCAACTTATCACTTATGAGTATAAGCTAGTCAAATGCAGTAGTAGTAGTAGTAGTGGCAGCATACTTCCGAAATAACAGATAACGTCTCTACGTAACCTTAGTTGTTTTCCTGTGTAATAATCAGTCCCACTAGATCAAATGATTTAACAGATTATAAAGCCTGAACATTCTCAACCAAAGATATATATATATGCATCACAAATAAGAACATAGTAGAAAGTGTACTACCATGTGATATATTTCCTAAGATCACTAACGTATTTGAAGTTATTTCGGCAAAACTCCAATTATTTATCCTACCAAATTATCATTGAAATCCCTACAACTAGTTAGTACGATTATTAATAATCCTATTTATTTCTGATGTTCACCCATATTGACACCAACCAAATATGAACGACAGTATATTATGCCTGCACATTATCTTTCGAAAAATTCTGGTTCATAAATAAACTATAATTTTGATGTATATGATTGCTGTTAGAAATTAGTTCTAATTTAGTATAATTTGATTTATTGGAAATCTCGACATCTTGTCCTTGGATGTCATTCGTATTGTTTGTTCGGTTTGTTTTTATTTAAAAGTTTAAATGAAACTACAATAGTGGATAATTGTATTTTGTTTATTGTGATTGAAGAAATTTATCATCCACCTGCAACATTAAATGTAATTTATCTTATCATAGATATTCACCTGGTTATCTAAATTTCGTTGTACATTGAAGCGTAATTATCGAAATAAAACATTTGGGAAATCTTTTTTTATATTTTGGATAAAAAAATAAAGATATATGTAGCATATTACTATTGTGTTGATGATGATTTTTCTACAGTTATCAATCGTGTTTTCTGTTGTTCAATTAACTTATTTTTATTAGTTTTCTTTTGAGGAGACGTAAAATACCTAGAAACACTTTGGTATTCTAAACAGATGTTCAGTGGCCGGTAGCTAGGACACATATGCGCAAATGAGTGCTTCCTTACTTAAGCATATGTGTAATAATACTTACGTGCTAACTGATTAGTGAAATAATAAAAATGAGGTGACGAATCACGTTATTGTTTCTTTGGATAAATGTTGGTTTTTGTTTTATTTTACTGGTTTCATTCTTAAAGTAAAATAGTTAACGTAAATCAGCGTCAGCTTTCTGTGGTCGATTCTTTAGAAAAAATATTTACCTTACAGACAAAGTATAAACATGTACATTGGCACATATGCCAATAATAGACTGATCAATTGCAGTCTTAAACATCAATGGGAAGATTCAAGCAAAACAATACCAAGTGAATGTACTATATTTGCTCACAAATTTAAGGAGTATATTCAAAATAATTTAAGTACAATTGAACTGATGCTTGATTCACTTATAAGAAAAAGCGAACTTAAGTTTTATTGAGACGTTACTGTTTTCTTATTGTGTTTAGTAATATTTTTTCTGACCCAAAACATCTAACCCTCAGGAAATTTGTGGCAATCTTAGAAGAAATATATTTATAATGGAATTCGCTAATGTTTGGAATGAGATGGTATCAATTTTCCAATCTGCTTCATTTTAATTCTTTGAAAAAGATTCTTCATGATGGAAGTAACAAAGGAGGTTCTTACTACATTTATTGACGAAACATCTACTTTCGTTAGTCGAAGTTGTTCAACTATCTGTCTTCCAAAATGAAGAGATTCCCATTTTCGTTGTTTCAAATTTCCCAAGAGAATGAAAATTATGAGTTCATCATCACACATATAAATCGACTTGACCATATTTACATTACGATAATAAATCTAATGAGTAAACACAAAACTTTCAGCAAATATAACTTATATCACCCTTATTACTGAGTTACCGACAGATCGACACTCAAACTCCACAGCAATTTACGATTAGTCTAGTTGATCCAGCTTTTATAGCTTCTTTTGAAGAGAGATTTTTTTCTCACGTCTGGTAAGTCAATTTCTCCTATTAACTATAACAGCTATTAATAGGAATGTATTGCGATTCAAGTGATTTCGAATCTTAAGTGTTAAAAGATGCTAACCCGCGTCTTCACTCCTTACTAGTGATCTCGATTACAGTAAGTATTACTCTGCAAAAATGTTCTTGTCTTTCCGCTATATAACTGACTGGATTATGATTAAATTAACATTCAAATACATCTTTATATATTACGCATCACCATAAAATTTTCATGGAAAGAGGAAGAGTTGTGCCCGAAGTAATTATTTCCTTATGTCTGTCAAGCTGATACATTTAATATGTTAAATTAAGAAAAACAATATCGAATAACACCAACAACTTTTAATTGATGAATCACCCAAACAAATAGTGCTATAGATTGTACAGCCATTTTAACGTTTTGAAATTTAATACAGAACTGGGAGGATATTTGACTATCTGAACAGTATTCTAAGTCTTTTCTTAAACTTACCAAGAGAAGCAAAGTACAGTAGGATCCACGGATAAAAGTTTAGACTATACGGTGTTTATGTAACATAATTATATTAGAGTAAATAAAACATACTTCCAAGTTATTTGCTTTCGACATTTGATCACTATTTGTGTTTAAAACTTTACCTTATCGACACTATAAAGTGTTTCTCTGATGATGAAACGTAAAACATGAACCGACAAAATGTGAAACTTCAAACTAGGCAATAAAATGTACTGGTTTCAATAGATGTGTTAGTGCTTTACTCTTTCCACTCTGTGTGAAAAATGATGAACTGGAGACATTTTCGTTGGCTTAAAACTCACAGTTCAAAGTACACAGATCTTTTTTCAGATAACATTTACGTATTCAAAGAGAGTTCTGTAGGAGGATCACAGTATATCCTAACAATTCTCAGACCTCAAAGATGTTCTCATGAGGGAATATGGTTATCTTATTCCCTAACCACGACAGAGCTAACCGATAGCGGGTGTTTAACTTTAGGTAAATAAGGCTTTCCCTGAAATGACTTATTCGTAAACGTCCCTTGCATATCAATGAAAACATTGAAAATTCACCCTACTTTTAGATTCTAATATACTATTCAATTAGATGTACACTTATGAAATTTACTGATACGTTTACTGTATGCACCAGCTGGTAGAAATTATATGTAAATACACTGTTTAGCAAATTACTTAGTAAACTGTGTAATTTTTTCGAACACATTATAAAAAATACATTGCTTTTTAGGATGTGTGTGTGTATATGCTCGTTTATATTTAGTACAACAAATGTATTGGATTCCTTTTTTTTGTATTTGAAAATTTTAATGCTTCTTTGGTTTTTCCTAATGAGTGTTTTTCGGTAGACAACAGTCATTATCATCGATCTATAAAATAAAGAAACTGTTTCATTTTCCTGGCTGTTTGTCGTTCTCCTCCCTCTTTTTTAATCAATGAAAATGTAGGTAGGTAATGGCTATACAAGTTACAAGCTTCGGATTTATTTATTTATTAAACCAAAAGTCCATTTTGCATGTATTTACAACAAACTATGTATGGTTATCGGGTGAGTAAAATCAATAAAAAACAGCAATCTGTTTACTTGATGTAATAAAACAAGTAGGCTACTTTTTCACTGTTCTATGAAAATAAACAGGCTATAATGTGACTGGAAAAGTTAAAATGAATAATTACTAACTAAAACGACGTGCCTTTGTAAGAATTCCGTGTTTAAGGTTACCATACCGTAACCTTAAGGCTAATTAAATATACTGAAGAATTTTAGATAACGCCTCTTGATGTTTCAGACTGGATAAATTTTTTTGAGTTACCATATTGTTTTGTGAAATTACTGTAACTTTTCC